TTTTTCGACTGGTGGCGCCATCCGTGGCGTAACTCTGAAACTGCTAGCCATATAATTGGTTAGCAGTTTCAGCGATTCGCCACGGATGGCGCCAGCAGTACAAAAAATAGTGGTACTCCGCGATTAAATGCGATTTTAACAGTGTTCTGGTCGTTTATTGTTATTATCAATGACCGTGGATTAATCTACGTACTTTCAGCTACAAATTGAGTACTTCAGCTAAACGAAAGCTGTCCGTATAACAGTGTACGAGCTGTCCAAAGTGAACTAACCGGCGTACGCATGACGAGTACAGTGTCAACCGTTGCAAATAAATTGCGATTTTATCAATGTTTTGTAATTACTGGTACCCAGCCGTTAGAGAGTATTAATCTACGTTCTTTAAACGGTGTATCTATGCAATACGAAGAAGAATGATGCCCGTTTAGCTGTGTAAATGCGATAGATAATTGTGCAATTAGGGTTGCCACTCCATAAGGGGCTGCGGTAATACAGGCATAAATAATTTTACTAATTCTGGGGTTTTGCAGTATTGAGTCGATACATTAAGCCCTCAGGAATAATGTGAGACTAAGGGCGTTCGTTTTGAACGCTTAATTACTGATATATTCGCATTTTTCCATTACTAGGAATTTTCACTCACCTGTCAGTATGATTTGGCTAGCAGTTTGAGCGAATTGCCACGGGTGGCGCCACCGGTCAAAAAAATAGTGGTATTCCGCGATTAGATGCGATTTTAACAATGTTATGGTTGTTTATTATTATTATCAATAAGAGGGGATTAATCTATGTTCTTTAAGCTTCAATCTGAATGCTTGGTCAAGTCGGATGCTGTCAGAATAACGTTGGAAGAGTTGTCCAAAGTGAATTAAGCGGTGTACGCATGATGAAATCGTTACAAACAATTGTGTTTTTAACAATGTTCTTCTTATTACTGGTTCCCAGCCGCTAGAAAGTATTAATGTACGTTCTTTAAACTTCAAATCTAATGTGTGACGAAGGAAAATGATGACTGTTCAGCGGTGTAAATGCAATCGAAACCAGTTGCAATTTGAGTTGCCGCTCCATAAGGGTCAGCGTTAATACAGGTATAAATAATTTTACCTGTTAACTAGTCAGACAGTCTAAGGGTCAGTCGTCTCGAACAAGTTGAAGTGTAATATAGAATTAAAAATATTTTCCAACCAGTTATTCCATTGAAGGAAGGCACTGATCAACATTTAAAGCCATAAAACGTCTACCACTACGCCTTCGACTTGCGACATTTTTCTTGCAGAGGTGCGATATGTCAGTATTAACATACCTAAGAGTCGTTTGATGGAATTGTCTTAAATATAACTGCATAAATATTGTACAATCCTATACTAATTATAGTTGTCTGGTTCAACAGGTTACTGCAGAAACTAACTACTGCCTATGTCTTTTAAACTTGGGTTGTAGTAGTATCTGCAGAAACTGCCATGGTTGCTGGAGTTATTATCTAATTTGTTCACGGGAACACGGACAAGCGTCAGTCCCAATTCGACAGTTGCACGAGCAACATTCGATCGAGCTCGAGAGTTGTACGAGCAACAGCGATAAAGGATCACGTTTCAAACGTGTACTGACGCAAGCCATTTCACTACCGTTCAATGTCTACTCCTATACCATCCTATACCTCGTCTGTGTCTCAATCCACCTACTTAACTCTCAAATTGTTTACATATGTACGATATAATGTTTTCAAACTATATAGACATAATGATGTCTTTATCTAGAAGACATGGTCAGAAAATATAAAAATATGTTAGAAAACATTTTATATAATATAAATGTTTGTATAACAATTATAAAGAATATTTAAGAATTATTTGAGAGCATCTAGCTGTGCTTGTATTTTTTCTAAATTCTGATATAGATCAGTTAGTTCTTTTTTATCAAATTCAACTGTTAGTTTAGAATCCTTTTCTCCTGTCAGATTCAACTGCAATAGAGCTACTGGACGTACATCCTTCTTGATTGCAGATGATGATGCTTGAATACTTAAACACCAATCAATATCTTTGACCTAAAATGAAAAGATATGTTATTATTTATAAGATCACAATATTTTTATAAAATTACATGTATTTTAAGTATCACTACATAACATACCTGAACAGGAAACATCGACTGTTGTCTGAAATTATCAATTATTCCTTTACCATATGTTACCCAGGCATTTAAAAATATTTGAATCTTTTCATCATCAGTTTTATAAATACTGTTCAAAGTGCTATCCATAGATTGTGGCTTTATAATGTAACATGCAGCTTTTTTGTAAATTGTTATTATTGCATCTAAAAGGCAAACTAGATCATCTTTATTTAAGTCCAAAGAAACTAACAACTTTTCCTCTTCTTCTTCACTGAAAATTTTTGTATCAACACTAGATTGAAGTGTTTGACAGATACGATTTATTAGTAATCGGAATTTACTGTTATCTATTTGAGTGGCTATTTTCAAACCTCGTTCGAGTCTAAAATGAATGACACCAATTTATGCATTAACATTCAAGGAGTTCAATATTAACAATATATATATCTGATTTGAACACCTATTAAATAGATTATTACTAATCAGAATTATATGTATACTACCGCGGTGTCACTGTGATCCAAGTGGCCATATTACTCAACATTTATGGGTAAAACAACTTTCACGCAAAATGTCGAGATAGTCAATAAATATATGTTATGTACATAGTTGAACATCCCCTAGTTTGGTTATTCAACATTCGTTCTTTTAATAACACTGTGCAACACTGTGTTAAAATGCTTACATCACGAATTATGAATATGTTTCAGTTGGGTGTGCCACTTGTGAAAATATGCGCTTCAAACGTTCATAACAATTAAATAATTATCATATTTAAAAATAAAGTGTATTAAGATACATCGTGATTCAAAAAAGAGGCGTCAAGTAGATTCGTTTTTTTCGTAATGACTGGTAATGACAATAATTTGCTATCAACTGAAGATTTATTACACACGCGTCAACGCATGTGCACAAACACACTTGCGCGTCGTGATCCCTGAATGAAAACCTTAAAACTGATAAGAATTTGATAGTCGTGTCTGAAACATACCACAGAATTCATTGCAAGTTTCCCAGTACATACTATTAAAAATGTCTTTATTAGATGATAAATATGATAAGGTATTATGTCGAAATTATTTAATCATACATATTTCTTTTAATATACATAGATAATGGTATAACAATTATTCTGTTTTGTAGGAACATCCACGAAATTTGATTCCTGAATTATGTAGACAATTTTATAATCTTGGATGGGTCACTGGTACTGGCGGTGGTATATCTATTAGACATGGGTCAGCAATATTTATATACTACTTTAAATATAAATAGTGTGCATCTGTATTATTAACATAATATTGGCCTCACAGAGACAAAATTTATATAGCTCCTTCTGGTGTTCAAAAGGAACGTATCAGTCCAGATGAAATGTTTGTACAAGACATTAATGGAAAAGACTTAGAATTACCACCAACAGAGAAAAAGTTGAAGAAGTCACAGTGCACTCCATTATTTATGTGTGCATATTTAAGAAGAAATGCAGGAGCTGTAATACATACTCATTCCAAATTTGCTGTAATGGTCACATTGCACTGGCCTGGTAAAGAATTTCGTGTTACCCATCTTGAAATGATAAAGGGTATAAACTTAAATAATTATTTACAAAATAATTTGAAATTATGTACATTTGCCCTGGAAAATATAGTCAATATTGTAACAGGTATAAGGAATCAGAAATTAGGAAGATCATATCGTTATGATGAAGAATTAATAGTGCCAATAATTGAGAATACTCCATTTGAAGAAGACTTAAAAGATGAATTAGACAAAACCATTATTGCTTATCCAGAAACCTGTGCTGTATTAGTACGAAGACATGGTGTTTATGTTTGGGGTGATTCGTGGCAACAAGCAAAGACCATGTAAGTACAGTTAATATAACATATCAGTCTGTTATATATTTTTCTTATTAATATAAATTTTTTTAAGGACGGAATGTTATGATTATTTATTTGACATTGCGTTACAAATGAAACAAAGTGGATTAAATCCTTTAGCTGCTCCAGAGGATGATGAATATATTTAATTAAAGAAAAAATTTATGTATAAATGTATATACATATATTACAATACAGATTCGTCAGTTTTCTATTAATTTTCATGTATCTAAATCAAATGCTTCAAACTCTTTTCTAATCCTATTTGCTAATTCAATTTCCTCTTCTATAGACATTTGGCAATCTTTCCAGTCAATCCTGTCTCTGATATCCAGTATTGTATCGGCTGCTAATACTTCTCTTCCAAATTGAAGTGGAAAGTCCTTTTTGATTCTGTAATACAACTTTTCTTCAGTTGGCAATTCTACATAAAAGTACAGAACACCTGGTTTAGCAATTTGCTGCAGATCTGTATGCGGGGGCAGTTCAGTCATTTTGAAATTATTACATTCTGCCATTTCCTAAAATAAAAAACATTCAGATCAGTACTGATTAAAATGTATCACGCAATGGAAGCACACTAACTTACCTCAAATGTTTCTTTCAAAGCAGGTGCCAAATTTTTATGAACAGGTATAACTTGCAACTGACAATGAGATGTTTTATAATTTCGTTCAAAGAACACAGGTACTTTATCTACAGTAGCGTAGTATTTTGTGATAGCATTTTTATATAAATCCATTTCTTCTTTCACCTCTTTTGGTAGAATAGAAAGGCTTTGGTGATGCGTTATTGGTAGAATTAAGAAGTGTTCTTCTACTAATCCACCTCGAGCAAGGGCAACATAATTCTCTGACCCAACTGATATTACTAAATGTTTAGAAACTTCAGGACTTGATAAGCAAAACCAGCACTTTGCTTGATCAAATTCTGGCTTTGGTTTTTTATTACGTCCCTCTGAATACTTCGACCTCTTTGTGGTATCTTTGGACTCCATGTCATAAAAGAACTGTGCACATTTTGGTTCTTCCTTTTGTGCTGAAGGTTGATTTGATAACATAGACTTGGGATAAGGACTATCTGTTTCATCTGTAGTCCTCATGACTAAGTCAGACAAACGTGTTCTATCAACAGGGGTCAAATTTAATGCGTAGAGCCATTTTTTCTTCTGAGTATTCATTACAGGTGCAAGTGCTATAAATCTTGTTGCAATTTCAATGTTACTATCATGCTGACTTTGATTTCTAAAAATTAAAGTACTTTGTATATAAGTAAAATGATATATTAGACTAAAAACTTTCTAAAATTACTGACATTTTAATTACCTATATGGTGGTCTTTCATAGTGAATTCCTTCTAATGCTGATACATGGTACCTTGGCTTTATTTGAGTAGCTAACCATGCAATCAATTTACAGCCCTGATATGTAAAATTTGGTTTACTTGGATCTAAATTTGTAACTCCCGCTGGCCATGGAGAAGTTAACAGTATATCAATGCCACGAAAACTAGGTTGGCCTCTTAAGCAGGAATTCTTAATTGATACAACATCACCTTCATTGAAACAGGTAGGTTTTAATTCAGATGAATTAGCTTCTGTACCACTAAGATATGCTATTTTCAAGCCTGAACTAGCAGTATATATGCCACGTTTTCCAAGATAAGTAAGATTTTGACATATTTCGCAACCATCTTCGTCCGGATAATTTTTTAAATTAGAATCCCTGTTCGCGCCAATAATGTACGTTGGAACTGGTATGTTTTTTGCGCCATTTTTATAGGCTTCGAGTTCTGTATTACTGTCACCAAAAAAGTTTCCAACGCATAACAAAAAATCAAACGGACCACTCTTTTTATTGATAGCTTCAACTTTATTGAATAAAAATTTAAAATGGCCATCTACGTCTCCACAAAGTAACACCTTCTGTTTCTCGCTCATCTTAGTAATATAACCTACACTTTAATCGATGGAAACGTACGTAATTGGTACAACTCCAAATGTATGTAAACAATTTATTGATCATATAGTTAAGTTAGTTTCTCGTTACGGTTGTTTAACAACTGTCAATGATGTAATTATAGAATTTTACTTTAGTGGCATTTTACCGCGCCGAACGTACACGTACAATTGAAATAGTGTCCTACCCCACTTCACGCTTGAGAGTTTTCAATCGAACTGAGCTCCTTAGGCAGTACGGAAACTATAAAAAACAGAGCAATTTAAGATTATATATTTGTTCCAAGAGTGACAAATTGTTTATTAAATTTTCTTGAATTGATGTTGTGCATACAAGTGTCATTTATATCGTGCTCAATTAATATTTAATGTTTCATCAGTAATGATAGAGAGGAAACGAGAGTGCTCACGGTCGGGAATTCGTTGTCCCCGAATATGTGTGCTGCACCAAGCGGTCAATTCCGGCATAATAGTAGAAATCTACCTATTTTGGTTCCACCGCAGATAAGATATACATAGTACTGCACATATGGGAGTTGGTGGCCCACCTAAACTCTAGTACCGATACCTTAAAAAGCCTGTGATTTTAACGACCTCTACCTTATGAGAACGGTGAATCTGCGGTGGGTAATGACACTAAAATGGAAATAGGACGACGTCTTATCGTGGGCCGAACAAATACATTGGATGAAATATCTATGCATTCGTATACATACCTCGTCTTTGCTAGTAATGATAGATGATGTCAAAATTACCTGTGGCGCTATCTTAGATAAATTGACCAAGCTACTAGCCAATTAGTATCTTATTCTTCTTCCTAGATGTACCCATGGTAGTATTCTGTTATGATATTAATCGGATAGTATTTATCTATGTATATGTACACAGAATGTATGGTGACAGGTTTATTTATACATTTTGTCTGTGATTGAATTATAATTAATCCTGGTATATTACTCACGTGTTTCTTACGTTAACAATATATTAGATCCTGGGTAGCATTCCAGGTTCAAAAGCGCAACAAATAGGAATTATTTCTGAATGACATCTGCAGGGGGGACTTCAATTAATAATTTAGCATTACTGAAGAAGTTGATTGATTCCATTACAACCTATTTTCTTTGTTTCTTTGCAAGACTGATGTGCAGAGTGCTCTCAATCTCTACTAACTTATTAAATAACAATCACTAACAGGGCAATTAAGAGTTCTTCATTCACTGTAGCTCCGAGAAACTCCTTTAAGCAATTTAAAATCACTGGTAATAATTTTCAGAATATACTATCTAACGTAGCTAGACAGTAGTTTTTATAGTATGCACCCTGGCCTCAGCATGTGTGATTGGGCATGTAGTTATATGTGTAACATAAAAACTTTAAACCGAGTTAAAAGTCTGATTGGTTTCTGTGAAATTGCATGCATTTTTGTTATTTATATTATACAATAATAACAGCCGTAGTTCTTAATGCACGTTTAAATTATTAATGGAGGAACTGTTGCTTAAAGTGGACGGTAGTGTCATCTAACAGTCGGAAGGAGGTACTAATTGGATAGTAGTTTGGGAGCTTTGCCGCGAATGGTGCTATATGTAGTTTTCTGAAGAACGAAATTTCACACCTGTTCCATACAAAATTTAAATTCAAATTTAATCTGGAACTTAATCGATGATGTTTGATATATACGTATAGTGAAATTAACTGAAAAAGTTTAATAATTAATAACATTGTAACAATTGTGGGAATAAATTTGATTCGAATAAATTTGATTAACAACGATTAAGTCTTTAACACCTTTGTTATTGTTATCATCGTGATGATAAGAGAGTTGCTCGCACTCTCATATCGATAGATTAACACGAAAGGTACTCGTTTAGATCTTCTGCTCGGTTACGAGCATCATAAATATCAATCATCGTGCAGTTGTACCCTACTAGTGGAACTGATTGAGTGTTAACAGCATTTACTGCGTACACGATCCTACAGTTCACTTCCCGAACTTCATGCGTAGCGTATCTAGTGTATTTCAGTAGCGTGTCTCTATATTTCGATTAAATTCATTCGAAAAAATACAGAAAGTTATGTGATTTTAAAAATTCTATGAATATATGGTACACAACGCATTCGTATACATGCAAAAAGTATATTCTTAACGGATTTTGGTTCTACTTCTCGAAGTTTCGTTTGTGAAGTTGATGAATTACTTATATTGTCAGAGCAAAGTATTGTGTCAGGTAAGAAGTAAAAATACATGGCAGCTTTCTAGTAATTCAGTTCAAATTTTAACTAGATAAATGAACTGTTTTCCGAAAAACTGTCGATTATACGTTTGAGGCCACTTCTTAGTGAACCGGAAGTAGGCATTCGCTGTATTTAAAGTTTTTCTCGACTTAACGATTGTACTTATTTAACGAAGAAAAACATATTGATATTTATTTATGCACTCGGTGTGTTCAAGTTCTGACCAAGAACATCACTAATTGGAGGTCTCAAGTTTGTAGTCAAGGAAATAATCTCTAATCGGATGTCTCAATCTCTCTACCTCGTATGGTTAAGAAGAAACTGATGATAAAATAAACAGCTCTTGATTTCAACTATTTCTAGACCTAACAGCACGATGGAGACCAAAGATGAAGTTTTAACACCGGGCCAGCGGATAAGGCCTCCCGGTAGCGATCAAATAGTTTCCGACCTATTGAAGAAACTATACGGCCTAAAGGTAATAGAAGTAACCGAGTTGAATGCGTACGACGACAGAAACTACCACGTAATTTGCAAGGACCTACACGAAAATCCCTACACACTCGTAAGGGTCATGTAATAGACGCACAGAACGAAATGTTGATCTTCCTGAATCAACGAGGCATCAAATGTCCCCTACCCGTGAGGAACATCAGTGGAGCGTATTACTCATTAGAGAAGTGGACCGTGGACGGCTCTACAGAGAGTTATGCCGTTAGGCTCCTAGTCTACCGTCCCGGTGAGCTGTTGCACCGTGTGCCGATTACCGGTGAATTGTTTCGAAACGTGGGAAAATTCACAGGCAAACTAGACAACATCCTGATGGGTTTCTCCCATCCCGCGTACGACGATCATAAGACTTTATGGATGTTGATTTCGGTGCCTAAGTTGCGTCAGTTTACCTACGCCGTAGAGAATACGATTGAAAGGGAGTTAGCGCATCAGGTTATCCTCGCTTTTGAGCGGGACGTGCTTCAGGTGACGTCACAGCTCGAACACGGCTTGATCCACGGCGATCTGAACGAGCAGAACATCGTGATGTGCCTGGACGGGAAGAGCATAGCTGCGGTGATCGATTTCGGGGATTGCCATCGGACCTGCCTGATCTTTGAGCTAGCCATCGCTCTCTGTTACATGATTCTACAGGCTGGTGACCTTACTATGGGAAAGTACGTCATCGAAGGCTACCAGGACGTCAGAAAGCTGACGGAACTGGAGAAGAAGGTTCTGAAGATTGCCGTTTGCGCGCGGTTATGCCAGAGTCTGGTCATGGGCGCTTATTCCTACCTCAATGACCCGCAGAATGAGTATCTGCTGATTACACAGAAGTCTGGGTGGGCTATGTTGAAGAATCTTTGGCCAATTAGCCAGGAGGAAGTGCTTCGGAATTGGGGCCTGATGGATTGAAGAAGAGAAGCCTATAGGATGAGTATCCATGAATAACTACTAGCTTTTTAAAAACCTTCGTGGATGTAGACATAATCTTTTCATACTGTTTGTACGTAGTTAGTATGTTTAGAATTTAACGCTGTCAATTATTATCAGTACCTACTATCTTACCCACCATTGTCAATTACCTAAGAGCAATAAACACAGTGTTGATCAAATAATTAAGGTACTGTGCAGTGATATATCCTCTGGTTTTATTCGTATTTAGGCAGTTACATATTTACATAGATATAATGAACAATAATGCTCTTCGTATAATAGTGTAGAGTCACTTTACATAACTAGGTTGTGGTATATACAAAAATTGCAGGTATCGGAAATCAATACACGGGGAACCGTGTGTTACTGATAGACGACATTAAAGAAACACGTTGTGATTTAGCTGGATCGAATAATAATTACTTAATTAGCCGGCTAAAGCGTCCGTCCAAAGGTAGATCGATATAATGTACAGAATTTGTTCGTGGATATACCATATAAGACAATGCATTTCGATCCTGTATAATTACGCGCATACCTGTGTTTTAGGGTGTAGAAGTCATTTTTTTTTCCTTTTCTTATCTGCGTGCGCTTTCTTCTTATTTTACGTAGCTTGTAAAACCGTCTAGCTGTGTTGAGGCAAATTCGTTGATAGCGAAAATCTGTTCACAATATCGTAGAACCGAGTGTAAGGTCAATGAAACAGTTATCGTGACAGAAAACAGTAACAACAGACAATATTGCAGACGATGTTTGTTCATCAAATATTCTTATCAATCGGCGGTGTAAACTGAATGTTTAACGAGAATCAGATTTCCATAGACGAAGAAAGAAAACGCGACTGCCTTTACGCAGTCGTCTTTTTTAATCAGAGGCACGCAAAACCCTTTTGAGCGGTACTCGATTAACAATGGAACGTCATGTTAACGAATTTTCGCCAGAGGTTATTAACAAAATAGTATATTACAGTACCTATATATTTTATTGCTTAGAATCTATTGGCTTACGTTCGCCCGACGAGGCGCATGTAGGCGCATAATAATCCACTTTTTTTTTTTTTCATAACGTGTGTCGTTAGTAACTTTGATAACTCTTATTTCTTTTTCACCGTTTCATTCAACTCAACATCCTTTGTTCGGCTGATCGTTAAATTTTATTATCGCGTAGCGTCGAAATCAGAGGTAACGTCGCAATAAATACGGATGTATCGTAAGTAAATACATACAATATATACTCCGAGGAAAACGTAACAAAGTAACAAACCTGCACGTAACGCGCGGAATGTGCGAAGACTCTTTGGGACGGGGAACGGAAAAATGGTTCTCGATACCAGAGACGGGCACAATTTTCTTCGAATAATAATCTTGGTAATCATTATGAACATGCATAGTGCTTTCATCCAGACAGTCGAATCGATTAAATACTACCGCTCGGTTATACATGTGCATACACCTTCAAACTTGAAACATTACTACATATAATCAAGAATTTCACGATCTACTCGATAAATAACAGACACGAGTTCTTTTACCTGTAAATGGGTTTCACTCAAAGATCATTTTTAATTAAGTGCAAAAATTCTGTCCATCTCTGATTGATACTCGGTAATGCCCGATGGGAACGGGGTGAACGCCACCGGCAATGTTTTACAGAAGAAGCGCAACGCAGTCTCTCTCAGTCTTCGTATAAACGATCCCGCCACGGGTAATCCGGAACCGAACCGAGCGATCGAGGATCGGGTGCGTCGTCGGAGAGTATACGTAAAAAAATAAAGCCTCGAAGAATGGAATTTTTTTTGTGCTGGCCTTTACCGCGATCCAGAGATATACCGTTCCGTTCCTCCCAGTCCTACCACCCCATTAACATTTTCACCCTAACAGTTGAACAGCTCTTTAAAGCTCGTCTCTCTCGCGAATCCTATCATTCGCAATCCTTTCAGGACACAATTACGTTCCCCTGCCATTCCCATTTCTCATTGAACTTCAACAATAATAATTTCTCAACTTTGTATTCAACTTTTTCTTTATTTTTTTCTTTTTATTTTGGACGAATGCCAGGCTTTCCTCGTTCTTCCTCCTCCCCCCACCCTTCTGTCCGATGGCGTGAGCGTGCGCGATTAGGAGCGGTGCCAAACTAACGCGTTACACGCGTCCGAGAATTATAGCTTTAATTAGCGCACAATTAGGAATCGGGATTCTTATATTGGGGCCGGGACGAATTCAGCGGCCGAGAATACCGTTCCTCCGAGAGGTCACGGGAGTGCGAGTGGAGAGGGACATTTTTGGGGGACAATTACCAGCGGGAGTAATTTGGTCGATCCCATGAATATACATATATCTCTTTACGACTTATCGTGGGCGGCGTACGACGAACGTGTCCGAAGATTGGGACGTTCGATAACGAGATCTGATCTCCCTTCTAGTCTCGCTTTAGGTTCGCGTACTTTCGGACAGACACATTCGGAGCGTATATCAACGAACACCGCGAGGCTAATCTTCGGACTCGCTCTCTCTCTCGGCTTATCCTTCTCACGCGCGCCTATTTCTTTCTATCAACTTCGATCTAACGTTTTATGCTCCGTTTTTTTTTTTTCATTCTTTCGTACAACAATAATTTCCTAGCGAGCACTCGGGTCTAGCGACACGACAGACAGCACTGTTTCTGGTAGAGCGGCACCCTGCACATGTTCATCGTCTTCACTCGGCTGCACAGTTGCGAGTGGTCCTTGCAGTCGTCTGAATCGTCATAGAATGACATTTGATCGCGTTAGTTCGAAACTTTTCACAGTGGAACCCCGTTTATATTAATGAAATTTTAGTAGTGCCTGAACTCTAGCTGCACTCTGGTCGAATGAAAAATCATAGATGGTGGGAAGAAATAGGTGGACTTTTATTATATGTGCGAACTGATATTATAGATTAGATTATTATACTGCTAGCTGTTCGATAAAAAAATATTGTTTGCTAGGACATGATTCAAGGAGAGCTATAAGATAATTTTATTAAATTTCTTGTCAACCCTTCTTTTCCGGAGTTTTCATGGCTACCTTCATTTTGTTATAAATAAACCTATAATTTTTTATGGCCATCTTTTAGTGCATACTGACATGAATTTGGCAAGTATTATAACAAACATATAATTTTTGTATCTTCTAAACCAAAGAAACATTAAGAAAATATTATTTACCTTAATTGAAACGATCAAAATGGTGTTCATCAACTGCAGTACACTCGTGTAAACGGTTAAGAAACGACTACTTAGTGTTATTATGACGTTTGCACTAATGGTTATGCCAATCTAAGCTGATCACGTTTTGTGGCCCACCCTGTATGAACGAACTTTTCCCGTGACAGGTTCATATAAACGGAGTTCGACTGTAAGTTCGATAGTCTGATAACTTCCTTTACCGTGTTCTGTACTCATTACGAAAGAAATGTTTCTATCGAATAGTACGAATTCATCGATATTACAATGTATCGTGCTAAAGCCAGATTCACACTAGCGGTCACGATACGGTCAGAATACGTTAAGGCCAGGTTCGCACTAGCGGTCAAAGGCACGGTCAGATCACGATCAATCTGAATTTAGCCTATATTTCCTTCATTGAATTACGTGTGGGCGATAAAGACCGTTGTCGGATTTGACGTGATCTGACCGTACCGTGACCGCTAGTGTGAATCTGGCTTAAATCTGGCAGCAGTCTTTATCGCTCATATGTCATCCACCGAGGGAGATATAGTCTAATCAGACTGATCGTGATCTGACCGTATCTTTGATCGCTAGTGTGAATCTGGCTTAACGGTGAAAATTGCTAATGATTAAAACCTGAGGAAAGAACGCGATGAAAGGTTCCTGTTGTCGAAAATTTTTCTGAGGATACGTTATTCACGATTAGTTATGTTTCAGGGATAATGTGTTCTCAGAAAAACGTCTTACCAGGTGTCTGAGGACACGGTGGACCTCTACATGTCTTCATGACAGGAGGTCGTGGAATGTCCCTGCATGCGTTTCCGGCTGGTTTCTTCGTCCCAAACCAAACGCACTGCAGGATCCTGTATTTGATACCGTCTTCTTCGCACGATGCTGTACACTGTAGAGATCGTCACACTTTAAATATTTAACACAAAGACACTAGGAATGTAAAATGGAACTCCAGATACAGGACGTTTCAAAATAAACTGATCAGTATCAGATGTACCAATGAATAATGCATTACTATTACTGCAAAATTCTCCACCATCTTTAAAACCAGAAAAGGATCGAGAAACGTTTCGACCAGACCGTTACTAGTTTATTAAAACAGATCGTGAACTACTCATTAGTAGACGACCCAATAACAATCATTATATAGGGAGTCTCATTTACGCCATATTCGTCAAATAACGGCAATATTCAAAGTGGACATAGTTATTGCACCACCCTGTATAGTTCTTTAGTTTCAATTTTGTTTTTGAACGTTGTCTAGAGTTATGTACTAATAAACTTCGAAGAACATACCTCTGACCACTCGCCGACTCTCCAGACGCCTTTGCACGCGTCGTTGTAACATTCTTGCCTCTGAAGAGGTCTAGTGGTGTCGTCGCATTTGTTCGGATCGAGCAGAGTGACATTTTGTTGACCGTTTCTCGCGTCCTCGACTAGACGACAGGTAACGTCCCGTCTCTGCATCGCGGTTTTCCAGTTGAAACACCTGGACGTCTCGCAGACCGTCCATGCTGTCGTGTGCCACTGCGGACATTTACCGAATCCGCACGGTCTCACCTTCTGGGGCACCGGATGTCCCGCATCTTCGCACAGTTTCGCCCCTATTACCGTTCTAGGGGGCGTGCGAGTCGAATTACCGACCGGTTTCGCCGAGCGTGCCGTGCACTGGGCTCCACGCATCTTAAAACAAACGAACAAATGTTTAAAGTTAGACAAACCCATAATCTTCTGACTACGGTATTTAACTATCGAACGAATACGAAGTCGGTTAATTACCTGAAATCCACTTCCTCCGCAAGTCTGAGAGCATTTGGACCAATCCGTCGTCACCCACTCGAATACGAGGTCATCCGAAGTGTCTATACATACCGAACATCGTTAATATAGTTAACCCTTTAATTCTCAAATTATTTGAAAATTAACAAACAAATATTTTGTTGTATTTTTGTGTATAATACGTATGACACGTAAATGATTAACACGAACATTCTAAAATCCAAGTTAAAATCCAATAGATCCTTGGCTTACCTAAAACAGCAAGCGACGCAACTGAAGCATCCACGCTGGTGTTCGATCCAACCACCGTGGTGAGATCCAACGATCTATTCGTTTCCTCTTCGTTCGTCGAGCGTCCTTGCGCTTCGGTTGCCTCATCGGAGGAACCATTGCGATCCTCTGCATTCACAGGTGAACTTCTGTCCTCCTGTCCTTTTTCCGTCACGTGAAGTACTTTATCTTCCGTTAAGGTCAGCTCGCTGAGATCCTCCTCCGGGTCCCTGGTGCTCGTTTCAGCAACCCCATCATCAGTGGTATCGTTCTCCACATAGACCCTTCGTTTCTTCATCTCCTCTTCGAGTTCCTCCACGTAATCCTCCGTCCTATTCAGAATCTCAGATTTCTCCCTGGTATCCGGTTTCTGCGCCTCCTCCTCCAATCCTTTCAGCGACATCGTGGAGAATACGTGCTCGGTTTCGGAACTGTCGCGATGCTGCTTTCGATCGTTGCTTTTTCCGTGTGGCTCTATCGTACCGTGATTGGGGCTCGAGTTCGGAATATAATACACCGCTAAACCAATGTCGTCCGAGGTGGTCGCTGCGGTGTCCTTGTCCTGCTCCCTCGGCGTCGAGTTCCAGTGGTTCTTACTGTCGGGCGGACTTTGCCATTGCCTCTTCACGTTCTTAAGGGATTCCTCGATGTAATCGTTGCCGGAGCTTGTAGTCGTCGTCGTCGTCGTCGTCGGTGGACCAATTTTGCTCGCAACAGGTGTGATCTTCACCGGGCCGTTCTGTTGTAATCCGAACATGGAGTCGTCTAGATCATAGGGATCAACATCGATGAATATCCTTTCCTCATCCGGGCCGAAAATCTCGTCCGGAATCGCAGTATTCCGGTAAAGTGTGTCCAAGTTCTCTTCCACGTCCTGGTACCCTAGACCGGAAGTTCTCTCAGGCATGGTGCGTTTTGTCGCCAGTGTCTCTCTTTGCGGGTCTTCGATGAACGCCACTGGAGCCGTTCTGTGGGATCTTCCGGAGGATGGTTCGCCTTGGAACGGCCAGTATTCCTATCAGGAAATGATTAATTAAAAAATAATTCTGAAAATGTAGGAGTGTATCACTTGATCTGCTGATAATATTGCAGAATAGTGATGCTATCCCCGTTACATGCTAACAGGAAAGAGTAGAGTTCACTGGTGTTGCGGAAGATACTATTTCTTTTTATTTAAATAAAAATTATGAGTACTGATATAGGGAAGAGGTTTGGGGTACTCGAAAGGTGTACTGTTTATTTAATAAGAAAAGTAAGAAGCAAACGTTAGGGAACAAGAGGAAATTATGATTAATATACGATTATTTCGAACAGGTATTATCTTTATACGTAACGGGGAATCGTTCAATTTAGCATGCTCTCACCTTTAGGGTCGATATAAAATAAGTTAAGTGCGGTACGAGGGTCGAAGCACTTGACGATGCGGTCGATTCCACGGACTCGTGGTATCCAGGCTGATATATTAAATATCCACCACCGGTACAAAGCGAGTCCACGAATATAGGAAGCAGGAAAGTAAAGAATCGTCGAGAGACAATTAGTTGAACCGTGTTATTAACGAGGTCCACGGGAATATTATCCAGACACGGGATTCAATGTTCGAAGAAAAGGTCACTCGGATCCTTGATCTTACGATCGTACCTGATTCTGCGAGGTTACAGTGTGCTCTTTGTGGAGGTCCGTGAAGTCCGGCGGAGTGGGGCTGGTTTTTTGCTTCCTCTGATGCGGTTTTCTCGTAGGGTTGCTGGGTAACGCTCGTTCGTGACTGAGATCCTCGCTGTCGATTGGCACGAAACGGTTCCCATAGGCTGCTGTAGAAAATCCGGGGAAAATCTTAACGATACATCGAAATTCATAGTTTCTACAAATTACGACAGAATGAAATTCAACGTATTCAGTTCTTGCGCAGTATTAACACTTTGATTGCCACCGTCACCCAAATATGGGTGATACGTACACATTGCAAAAAGACTGGATTATTTAAACACAGTTACAGAATTTTTGCGGTATATTTTCGAACAAGACCAACAGCATCTATTAATTAAACACATATATTTTCGACGATTTACGATTTAAAAAACGAAATAAAGTGTGTCTGGCTACGTACGGCCTTTTTCATTGTGGCAGTCAACGTGTTAATTGATGCGAGCACAAAAGTCCAAAAGCATTATCATAAAAATAGCGAAACGGTCATAAGTATAATGCCATAGAAGACACAATTCGTTTGAAAGTTTCTAAAAATTTTTGTAACACAATTTGTCGTCCGAGCTTTTAACTGTTCAACAAATTTTCAAAAAAAATTGTAGTTAATTAATCTACGTGCGTTTCATTGGTACAATGAATAGACATACACAATGCGTTTCATAGATCCAAGGAATAGACATACACAATAATATAAAGAAAATTCAACCTAGAAGACAACAAATATTCTTTTAAGTGTTACCTCCGAAATTTTGAAAGTTCTCAAGTTTTCATAAGATAAAATTTGGTTAAATATTGTAATAGATAGCTATTCAGTAGACGATATTCAGTTTCGAAACTAGTGGAGATATAACAATTACGAACTAGAGCGACGAATTAAAGAATCGTGATGATTATTTAATAGATAGGACTGTTGTGCTAATTGTCCTCGTATTGTACAAGACTATAGAAAAATAAATCCACATATCACAAATTATTGATTCTATTGGAATGAAACTCCCCTGTCCACAAAATTGAAAAGTAACAATTGACATGATTTACCAGCCCGATCCGTGTACAAACTTTCGCCCGAGTTCGCCGGCGCCGAGTCCAGGTTCGCATTCTGTTGAAGATGGACGGAATTACTCAGTCGCAAGTATTCCTCGCTGCTTATCTGTTCCTTCGATCGACCCTTTACGATCAGTTGCGTCTCCGCGTGCGAATTGCCCGCTGAAACAAAAGTTTCCCTCAGCATTCCGTCCGTTTTTCACCTCAACGAAAGAAACTGTGGGTGAACTTCCGAGAAGCACCCACATCCGATGACTCTGACTCTGACATATATTATCAAGGTCACCCTCCCGAGTAACCTTTGAATTTTTATTAACACAGAAAGATTGAACAACGTACCCTAATTTTCCCAGAAAACTGAATTTTTGTAACATAGTGTCTTTCAAAAAATTGGAAAGCATTATACTCATCTGAGTTAGTTAGAGCTACTTAAAAAACAAACTAATAGAATGAATAGTTGATTATTTCATCGTTCAATTCCGCCAAAAATCTAGGGATATCTTTTTTCGCGAACTGTCTCTAACCAACTTTGAAGCATTATACTGATTGGAGTTGGTTAAAGACAGTTCAAGTATTTTTTTTTTTGTTCATAACTTTTTCATAATCAACGATCGGCAGTTTAAACCATTTGAAGGTTACTTGGGAGGGATAATCTTGATACCATATCTCAAGGTCAGGGTCATCGGGTGTGGGTGCTTTTCGGAACTGTATCCCAATACAATTACTGAAATTTACCTATGCACGCGTAAATGCCGGTGTCGGAGGTTGTGATATCGTTTATCTTCAAAGCTCCCTTCCTACTGATCTTGTATTTCCTCGATTTCCTTATTTCCTTGGTGTCTTTGGTCCATATAATCTGCGTCCTGATAAGCGTTTCTCGTTTTAGTAAAAAAAAGGAAACGATTGCGAGGAAAAGTAGAAATGGGTAAGACCTACTTGTCGAACTTTCTAACGGGACATCGAATTTTAATGAACGGCGTTCCATGGAATACATTCGCGACACCGCCGATCTTCAGATCGACCTTCGCGTTCAGATCGGTCTGGTTGTAGGTCGTGTTTTGACTGGAGATAATCGGCAGAGAACCAGCGTCCAGGTCGTGGCAAGCTCTGGTGTTGCAGGGCTTCTCCGATGAGGGCTTTTGCGGCGAGCATTCGCGATCTTCACGATTCTGCGTACGTCCTTGGGCCATCACCTGCTCGCAGGTCACCTTCCGTTTCTTCACGCCTCCGCCGCAAGTCTTCGAGCACTGAACAAAAATCATTATTGTTCGCATATATAGGGTGAAACAAAAAGTGGGTTCATAACTTGTGGGGTAGATATACTCGTTAAATGATGAAAAAAGGGCCTAATAATCATGGGTCGAAAAATTAATAGTTTCGAAGTTATAACCAATTCTTTGTTTCGGTTAAAACACGTGAGTTTCTTTGTTTTGGAGCTATCGTACCGTAGGGAAACAATGGATTACCTTATCATTTCTGCGTTTCCTGATTACAACAGGTTTTCTAGAATTCCTATTAGTTTCTTTTTACAATTCTTTACATTGTTTCCATATGGTACGATAGCTCCCGGGCTGAGAATAACTTTGAAAATATTAATTTTTAGACCCTTGTTTAATAGGACTTTTTTTTTCATCATTTGGGAAGTATTATCTATCCTAGAAGTTATTAACCCCTTTTTTTGTTTCACCATATATATCTTCTCCCTTCTTTATCACGATTTTTCAATACTTGTCTTTCGATACCAATTCAATTAACCCGGTCTGATGAATTAGGCACCCGTTTCGTTGTTTTTCTTATTAATGTTCTAGGTATTCTTTGAATATAATATTCGATTTCGTATTTCATTGGAGTAAAAATCAAGGTTATAGCAGTTATTTGAATTCGTTCGTCGAACAAGGCAAGTTGTTCCTAGTCGGTTAGATTTATCGGAGAATGTACCTTGCCCCATTCACCCGTGCTCCATTTTGGAGGGCAATCCCATACGTTGCAATATCGCCTGTCGGCCGGCGGTGGTTGCGGGCACATCTTCTGCGGCACGGGCACCGTTTTACCGGTGGAGCCACGTATCACCTCGTGTATGCATGTGACATCCCGTGTCTGTATACCGATTCCGCATGGGCTCAGACACGGCGAGAATTCGCTCATGTTCCACCTGTGGATGACAATTGATTGCAATAATCGAACCCCTCTTGCGTGTACCGTGCAGCGCTTGAAACATTCCAGTCTCATCGGTGATTAATATATTATCAATAATACAGGGTGTCATGAAATGAAAATAACTATTTGAAATAAATTATTTCGAAAGTTTCTTTTTAAAACTGTTATTTGAAAATAAAAATATTATCGATTCATTTGAAATAATAGCAATTTTTAATGATTAAGTATTTTGTTATTTTTGTATTTCACATTTGACAAAAGAAATAATAATCAAAATAATATGCAACTAAAAGATTTTGTTTGAAGAAATCATTATAGCAATAGCAGCAGAACCCACTCTTCGAAAAGCTCAACCGTGAGAGATGTTTGTCTGGGTCCATCTAATATTGTCGCGAAAGAAAATAATCGATCCCCTGATGTGGAAGATGGAGGAGGGGTGTTACTCTTCAGAAAAATGTCAACAAACCACACTCAGATGTAGTCACCTGATATAATTTCGAAGAACAATTTCACAATTATTTCTAAGAATTATTTCAAATGATTAGAAAATAAAATAACATGTTATTCGAAATAGTATTTCAAATAATGTTATTTTAGGCATGATCACAGGCATGGAAATAATTATGAAAATAAATAATAGGTTATTTACAATAATATTTCAAATAGTATCATTTCTGGTGTCACGTAACTGGTAGTACAGCTGAAAAAATAAGTCGATAATATAGAATAAAATTTCTTCACTCGAATCTTTTTGAAAATCTGCTGGTTATACGTGATATTGAATGGGACTTGGCTAGCGCGTCTGTTCATTGCACTCAGTTTCTACTTACTACCATGGACAAATACACGCGTGTCAAATGAATTTGCTAAATATTTTTATTTCTTATTTTGGCACGAAGTATCATATTGAAAAAATTCTATTCTACATTTTCGACTTATTTTTTCACGTAGAACCACCTCCTACTCTACACACGTAACCCTGTATATTATCAACCATAAACTCTGTCGTAAATGTCCGAGTTAATCAGATTTCTACCCACTTTAGAAATTTGATTAACCAAGTGCATTGGTTTTCTCTTTGTGTAATATTTCTTCCAATTAATCTTCTAACGTTACCTCGGTGGACAAGGATGATCATTGCAGACCCTTATCCTCGCTTCCGGTCTGGTCTCCGTTGTACACAGCAGAGGTATCACCGTTTTACCCGTGTCGTCGCGCACGCAATTTATTAGCAGCTCCTGCACACCTGGAAGATCAAAAGCACGGTCTGTACCTGGACCCACGAATGGAACGTCCGTTGTATTAGTACGTCTTTGTCCCAGCGACAAACAAAATTGACACAGACTGGTCGCCTTTAACACATCTAGGGACGCTAAATGTCGTTAATTACACTATCGCATTGAATTATCCTAGGAAATTAAACGCTCCTAGTGAAACAAATCCCAGTTCCGTTAATCCTTTTGTATTTAATTGTCGATAATACCTTGACTTATGTCTCCAGTCGATTATCGGCGATAAAGTACAGTGTTCATGGAATATGGACCGATACCAATGTTGCATTCAAAGTATAAAATTCTATTGAAAGATTTCCTGAACGTCGAGACCGATTGTGGAAGAAGTATTTTGTAATTTGGACTTTCAAGAAAGTTACACGAAGTTAATAATTTATAAGTTCTCAGTTGTAATTAATTAATCTTATACACTTTAAGCTTCGTTATCTGGATAAAAGTTCGGCAACTTTTATGGTCGTGAAAAAGGATAGCAAAAGTTATTATCCATTAACGGAATATTTCGCATTTCTGCATTCGCTCAGTTTATTCTCCTCGGTTTAAAGAACAACCGGAAATACTAGAAAATAGTTTAACCAACCGCTCCCCGAAACCTCTGACACACGGCAATCAAAGACCACGTTCTGCTTATCTTTGCCCCAGACTTTCAAAGTTTTCGCCGCGGATTTGCATTCTGTCTCCATGTAGCTGCCATTAAATTTCGAGCCCCGTGGACTTGTTCCACTCTTAGCCACGACGGCTCCCGCAATTTCACCGAAACTAACGTACTGTTCCACACGGAAGTGTACCTGCGTTCTATTACCATAAACATAGAGGAAATTCGTTTTCGTTTAATTTTTGGACATAGCAATGACACGTGTGTACACTTCTGCTCATGAGTAGCAGGATATTTGTCGTAGTTATGTTATTATTTAAATCTACTCCCATATATTTGTGAATATTTCGAACTCAAGGTCACACGAAGGTCATACTTTTGTAGGTCATTAAATTGTTCTTGACTTCAATTACTACACCACGACGATAAGAAAACGTAGTTCTGTAAAAAAATGACCTTGAAAAAAATTGTTTGCTAATCACAGTATTTATCCCTCCCCCCCACCAAATAATTCTTCCTCTCACATTTCTTTCTGTCATCAAAAGCAAGTGAGATATTTATGGTACTCACGTTAGATGGGATACCTCGTATAGCGGAAATTATTAGTGCTTCAACCCAATATGATCTGCTAAAATGCTAAAGGGTAAATTGTCCCAAATTATTTGCACCTGCCCCTTACCTCCTAGACAAGTGGCGCTGCAAGGTGTGTAGCCAGTCTCCTTCCACGAGTACGTGGTCTGCACGTCGCTTCCGGGAGCCACTTTGATCCCGGAATCGTAGCCACTTCCGCTGGAACCGCCAGCCGATGATCTGTAGGTGTCGGTCAGGCTAGGCTCCGCGTATCCGCTGTCTCCGACCGCGTCGATCCCGTACGATAGGCTGTTCTCCAGCATACCACACGGTTCCATAACGCATTTTTCCGTCTCGATCGGCTTTGGCCCGGAGCACTGTCGGTCAGGCAGATCGGCGACGGTCCGACTGAACTCGAGGAATATCTTGCAACGAACGTCCCGATGTCGGATCCCCTCGCCGCAAGTGACGCTGCACGGCGACCATTGGTCGGCGATGAACCTGGAGGGTGGTCGTTTCGTTTGATGATTCGAGCGGTTCGAAAACGTCCCTCGACCGAAACGGTACCTTGCGTCCCGGTAGCTGGCACGGTTTGCCTTGGACTTTTGGCTCGGTGTGATTTTTCAGTTGGATTTGGAAGGACGGATGATTTTTGTTATGTCTGATGAGATTTGGGGTAGAGGCGAAAGGGTGCGCCATGTTTAGTCCTGGTATCTTTGAAACCTCTATGCTTTGGTTTGGTAGTTATGTTGGGAAGTTTTATACGATTAAAAGGAGCAAATCTTGAATCATTACTATTTTCTGCAAGTTAATATTCGAAATGGTGCACTCAGATTGAATAGAATAGAGTGACTAGCACTATGCATACTATATCTATAGAACTGCCATATTCATTACGAACATTTCAAAAAAAAATACTATAATATTTGCATTTTTATAAGAATTGATTGACGTTCGTTTGGATACGTTCTCTTTATGCAAAATATCGTGACATACAGAACGAGTGATCGAGCCATAAGAGGGTTAAATGGATTAATATTGGACAATCGGTATTTTCAGCAACACGCAATGTCACTGTCTATAGTTAGCTTTATGGCATCAATATTTATTTCATTGCCTCTAGTAGAAAAATATGATAAACTTGTGAACGTGAAAGCAGCTGATTTTACGCGAATATATTCCTGTCTTTTTATCCTCCAGTCAAACCTCGCGATGTGCACGACACGAGGATTTTATCGGACCGCCTGCAGCTATTCGTGGTTCCTAAAGCGACGCGTGCACGTCTGTCGCGTCATCGATTAAACTGAATAAATATCGGCCGATTATTCCGGAATCACCGTTTTTAGCTCCCTCCCACACTCTCTCTCTGTCGTTCTCTTCGTCCATTCAACACGGTCTCAAACGGACCATTCAAATTTATCCCAGAGTACTTACTTTCGTCCACCAATCAATGATTTTTAACCACAAAAAGCCTTTTCAATACTGCTTCTCCCGTCTCATAACGCGGCCAGGTCTGATCGAATTTAACTGACACGAAACGAGTTTTATACGTCGTTTACCACACACGTTTTCGAAATAGATCGACTGTCAATTGGCCGATTAAACGGACAAACTTTTATTGAACATTTTTATATAATGGCGGGTGTGTCGGCTGATAGGTCACTGAAAAAAGGATCCTCGACGTTAGAAGAATTCATAGGCTCGAAATCGTTGTTAAGTACTAGTGCCTCGTCTAAGATAAAAGCCCACAGAGATGTATCTGGTACCGCTAATGGTGTTTTGTTGAAACGGGTTTTAATTAAATGATAGCCATTTTCTTGTGTTGATAGATATATAGCTCAATTTTTCAGAAATTACTAAGGAAATAACATATAATAAGATGTATATGTTGAATTTCTAATAAACAACAATTCTGCATATACAAAAAATTTGTTTAATTTTCCCTCTTATTTAACAGTGAAAGGTATGTATTATAACTCCTTATACTCGATTGGCAGAGCTCGAGGAGAGGACAGTTCTACGTTATAAATTATGCATGCTAAGCCTACGGGGTGGGGGGTTACTGTTGGAATAACGCAAGCTAGAAAATCGGAGGAGGGACGAGGTGAAAACATCAGCGGAGAAAGGCCGTACGATAATAGTCTACGGTAACATTATCATCGTAAGTCTATGCTAATGCTTGTTCTACGGCATTCGCGTTATGCGCTAATTAAATCACGGTAAATCTCGTAATCTCATAAATGCACTAGGAGCAAGAGGCGGGAAAAAGTTGAGCGAAAGAAACAGAAAAAAAAGGAAATGGGGGTGGAGGAGGATGGCGGCGTGGTTTGGGGAGGATTAAGCTCCGTTGAATTTCCAGCGGAGGGTAGGAGAATTCAACTTGGAAAACTGTTGCGCGTCAGCAGAAAATGGACCCTGTCGCGAAACTATTCCCCCCCTTGGTTCGCCGACAAAAAAACTCTACCGGTTCTCTTCAGAAACGAACGGTATAAACATTATCATTAAATTAAACTACTAATCGTCCTCCACACAGAATTCTTGCTGACGCACCGTATCCGAGACAGAAGAATCTGAGGGATTAAAGTTGGGTTTATGCGCACCGATATAATACGGAAGATTGTTTATTCTATACACTGCGTGGGATAACTGCAAAGCCACCACAAAATTTTGCAATTGTTATGTATTGTGGTTGAAATAAAAACGAACCAAGTATGCCAGTTAGTGTTATACAGTTAGTGTTTTCCGGGAGATACGTTCTTAACTAATTAACTAACTAACTAGTCCATTTCCGGGTCCTCCAACATTTTTCTTACACCCTGTATAAATTAGCTAGTCGATAATGGCCATTCGTTAGCATAACAATAATTCCTGTTTTCATAAATTGGCACAGAAAATAACGTGAATCTACACAAACGTCTGCAATTTGCTGATAATAAATCGATCTGATGGACCTACCACCCCCGCCCCTACAAGCACAGGTGTATTGACTCGAAGTATCAAACGAGTGGAACGAATAAAAAACGGTACACACGTCTGTTCTTTGATCGAAGGTAAAACGTTCAGCGGTAAGTCATCCCGGAAGCTGGGAAGAGGATGGTGCCTATGGGGCAAATGCTTCTAAAACTCGTTTTAGCCCTGATTTTTCATCCCCCTCCCCGAAAACGAGGAAGCGTCGTCGGACTTCGCGGTTCTACGCGGCGAGTTACAAAAGTGTGCGGGGAATCTACGAGAGGAGCAACGGCGCGCAGGGGTTGGTGGTTCGGTAACAAAGAAAAAACAGAGAAAAATTTGTCGAGAAGGTAGCTAGAGAGTCAGCAGTGTGCCTCGCGCTGTCTGGAAGCGGGGATGGTGGTGCTCGAAGCTTCGGATAGGGTAGACGGAAGTGCCGTAAGAGGAGCGTAAAGAAAAAAGAAGAAGAATAAGACGAAAGAAGAAAAATAGAGAGAAAGAGGTTGGGTGCCGGTGAAACGGGAAATCGAAGAAGAATAAGAAAAGAAACAGAAAAGACAGAGAAGAAAGAGTTCAAAGTGATCGAAGAAAGAGACACCAGTAATGGGATACCTCAGATACAACCAGCCACAGGCAAAGTAGATCGTATATCTGTCGGGACAGACCAATTGACGTCAAGAAATCAATTCTTTTAACACGGAGAGAGATTTCTATCTAGCTTGTTGTATGTAAGTCGTTTTTTTTTTCTTTTGCTCGATGCAAAAAAAGGGCAAGCGACGAGAAGCTCTAAGAACAAGTCTACGCACGCCACGTGTTTATGTGTGTGTGTGTTTTAGCGATCGTTTGTGGTACTCACGTGGATTCCGAAGGTATCGGCTGGTCGATCAGCTTCTCCGAGACCGGCGGGGGAGGATACGGTTGCATCAGGGGTTGAGTCATTTCCTCGCCATCTGAATGGAAACGTTCGATAGTCTGTAATCTTGTCCGGCGGGTTCGATTCGTTTTTAGGAAAGTACGTATCAGTGTCAAGCTACGGTTACGATGAGAAACGTACATTTGTACGGCTTCTCGCTAACATATACATAGTATTTTATTTCAATTTACTACAAGCAATTTTACCGTTTATTATTTTTGTAACGAACAACCAATTTTTCTGATTTATTTATCGCATCGATAGTGTTCATCAGGTTTTATTGCATATAGGATCTTACACGCTGCACCCCTCCCTTTAAATAGTACTAATTAAAATACACCTACAGAATACTTTTAGGTTCAATTTTACACTGTATTCTGTGATGAAGACAAGTGTCATTATTAGACTGCGGATTTTATGCATTTATAGTCAATAGGGATTTGTGTAATACAAAAGAGAAAAAACTTTCCTCCAGTGCAATGTATTTTCTACTTTATTCTAAACACAATAAAATATTTCAGAGAAGAAAGAAATTCCTATCCTTGCTGTTGTCTTAAAAAATTACTTTAAAAAATGTAATTTTGCATAAAAATCCGCAGTCTAGTCATTATTATTACACTGACAATGGAAGAGAAGACATTCCAGTGTGTGCCAAAGTGATCTGATATTAAAGTAGATGCTTTTAGTTTCGGATATTCATACTTGATGTACACTGACTGTAATATCACATTCTTTCGGATTGTATCCCCCAGTTCAGAAACATCCTGCATATGCGTGCTCTTGCGGCCAGAATGCCATGGAAATGGTACAGGATCAAGGTGCAAGGGGAATGTAAACATAAATAAAACTTACATATCGGACAGGCGACGCCTGTTTTGCACTCCTGCTCGGTGTGCGGTCGTTCTGCTGGATCGCAGTCCTTCGAGATCGAGCCGGCCGCGTCCATGCACTCGATTGTCCTCGTCCTGATGCCGACGCCGCAGGTCACGGAACACTATCGATCAGAACCGGGGAAAAGTAAATTTCATGCTGCCGGCAAATTGCCTCGAAACGTGAAGCTGCCTGGGGGTGGAGAGAGAGCGTGATGCAGCGAAAGAAACCGGAACGCGGGTGAAATAATTAAGGGGTTCTTTTCTACTGCTTTCCGTGGCCGACGGGAAAAATCGAATTTTCTTCGGTGCATTCTCTTCTAATAGCGTGTAATGATTGATACACTCGCGATCCCGTAAATTGCAGAGCTGTTCTGTTCACGTGTTACTTTCGAAGCAACGATAGAGCTGTAATGATATTCAGCTATTCGATCCTTCATAGTTACTGTTAGAGGGAAATTCATTTGTAAAGTATTTTCGGGAAAAATGTCAAAGGATAGCGAAGCTTCTATTACAGCTCGTGAATCCAGATAAAGTTATACGAAGAACCTGACGTTCTTTTCACAAATACGCGAAACTTCGTAGAGATACACTTTCGTAAGTTCTGTTTCTTTCATTGCGAGAGGTTCAGATAAATCGAGCAATTTCCACGAATGGGACATTGATTAATTAATTCGGACGGGAAGAAATTTACCGTGCCTCTCGGGTTGATTAATGTTTCGTTCATTTAAAAGACTTATGAAAGGACCTGATAATATAAGTAATGATATTTTCCTGCTCGTAGGAACCACAGACTGGCCGTGGCTATTGTTCGGGGAGATATCTTGAGAAAAGGGGTAGGTTAACTCTGCGTTTCGTTTAATTTTCGAGCTTTTATTTCGCCGAATGTGAACAGCTTAACTCGAAACGCGTCTTTTACGAAACGGGCGGGGATAGGAATAGAGTACGGGGTCAAGATAATACTACCATCCCGGGCCCGGATAAAATCTATAGAAATAGGGCGAACTGGGAGAAGACAAAGAAAAAGGCAAAACGATGGAACAATAAACTCTCGTGGGCGCTACCCGTGGAATTTAATTTCAGTATAGTAAGTGGTATTCGCAAGATTCCGGTACTAACGTTCGAAAGATTTAAAAGATCTACCCAGGGCAACACGAGTCCGCGGAGATCATTATCGGGGTGAGGTGCCCTGCCAGTCGACCAGCCCCGAACGATCATTCTGACTTCAATATTCTATATAATTTTAAATTATTTATGTACACAGAAAAACACTGTTTCAATAGGTCGTCTAACAAATAAACGTTAAAATATTTCTATTAACGTGTATTCTACTGTAACTATACAGGGTGAACCACGAATCGTGATCAGTAGAGATTACTCTGTTATTATCAGTCCGATCGAAAATGTTTTCATCAGGTATAGCATGGTTTCAAGAGACCTGTAACGTGATTATAGCAAATTTTTTGTCAACTCATTTTTTTCATGATTTTTCAAGGTTACCTTCAATTTTTTGCAAATACTCCTATAATCTTTTTACGCCTAACACATGTTATGTTATGATACTTACCGAATTTGTCTTGAAATCCTCTAACAGATAGGCGTAAAAAAATTGTAGGTGTATTTGCACAAAATTGAAGGTGACCTCGAAAAATCATGAAAAAAATGGGTTGATAAAAAATTTGCTACAATCACGTTAAAGCTATCTTGAAACCATACTATACCTGATAAAAACATTTTCGATTGGACTGGTAATAACAGAGTAATCTCTACTGGTGGCACAATAAAATTTACAATAACTGACAACATTGACCTACCCCTACAGGCAAGTAGCTCCTGGTCTCCCCTACCTATCCAGGAACAAAAAATATTGTTCCCATTTATTCGAAATGTGATCGGAAAGTTGTCACAAACTGTCGCGTGTTTGCGATCATCGAGACGGAGGGAGTCGAAAGAACGACGGCAAATTCCCGTCTGTGATAGTGTACGGAAGTGGCAAGCCGAATTGATTAGCACCAAAAGAGGATCGAAGTCGTCCTTTTCCACGGTCTGGCCTCCGTCGGTCTCTCGTCCGTGTCGCCGGCTTCTTCACTATCCCGGACCGATCGGATTCGCCTTTTATGTCGGGCCAAATCGGAGCCGAATCTCAAGTGGCAGGTACCATTTTCAGCGTGCCTGTTCATGGGGCGACGCTCGGTTCGAGGCGGTACCCGGTGGCCTCAAACTTCTCTCAGCCAGAATAAAGTCCCGCCCGATCGGGAAAGTAAGGAGCCCGAAGAGCGGGGAGCTTGAGCGGTTTAGATGGAAGAGGGGAGGGGGCAGGAGCGGAGAAGGACGGATGGGACAAAAAGGCCTTGGATGCCGGAGCTATCGTTCAAGACGTCGAAGGTGGAAAGGTGACATGAACGGAAAAGCGGAAACCCGCTCGACTTAGGCACTCTGCCTTCTCTTTCAACTCCCTCCTCCTTGTCTCACTCCCCAGCACCGTTCGGTGTTTGCTTCTGTCCCCGTTTCACCTCTCGGCTCGATCACCTTTTTTACTTTTCCAACCTTCTGCCTCTCTTCACCTCTTTTCAGAGTCTTCTTGTTTAACCCATTTCATTCGCGTCGTTTTACGTCGATTTCTTTTCTGTGCACGGTCGGGCCATGAGAGAGGATCGAGGACAATCTGTAAATGCGCGATGCTACTGATATCGTTAATAAAATCTCTTCGGCGGTATTGCGTACTGTCTTTCTTTTTGTATCGATACTTCCTTTTAATCTAGTTAAGTGGGCTATTATTCCTATGAATTTTGGTGAAAAGTTTGTCTGTTGACTGTTTATTAATCAATCTGGTAGCGAATACTTTTCACAATTATGACACGGAGTACTCAATTGCCTTTGGAGGAAATTTAGATTGTGCTTATTAGTTTTCTGTAGTTTTCTGAATATTGTTACCCACGTAGCTTTATAAGCAGTTGATCTTAAGTAACTGATTATTAACTTCTGGAACACCTCGAGATACACTACCAGCCGAAAGTGTGGAACCAGAGTTCACGGTTGATGGAACAGTAACTCATTACTCTGTTACGATACAATAAAAGTTATGGAATCGGTATATATATAAATCATTTCCAACCAGTTTTAGCACATTACTTTTATCAAATCGTTATAAAATAATATTATTCTCTTTCTTCAATTATCACGCCAAATCCCATATTTTTGGCCAGGTAGTGTATGCATACTTCATGGTTTCGAAAGATGAACAGTTTGTTTCATTCGCAGCCGATTAACAGACACGTTGATCGCTTGTACCGGTCATACTACGCGAATTACTGGATACGTTGACATCCCTATACAGCACCATAGGAAGCTTTACGCCGCCAAACATCACATCCGACACATAAACAGACAAATTCAAGTTACAGAATCGAATTCCCACGTAATCGATCCTCGTCATGGACCGCAACGGTTTCCAGCAACCCAACAATTCATTATCGGAAGTATCGTTTTCACTGCAATATATTGCAAACTTATAGTGTGTGTACTTCCGAGACTGAATGTATACACTCCCTCGCTTCACCAAACAATCCTCCCTTCAATCATTACTTCCTTCACTTTTACCTCTGTTTTGTTCCACTTTGTTTTTTCCTTCATCCACCGTTTCGTCCCTTTCCTCTTCCTCCCTCCTGGTTCCCTCTGTTTTCCAACTTCCACCCACCCCGATCTTCTCCCCGATGTTCCACCCCCTCCGTTCCTCGTCTTTTCATCCCTTTCCCCTCCCCACATCAGCGTCTTTCTCCAAGAATCCAACCCCATCCCCATTGGGGAAGCTCGAGGAGGAGGTCCGATATCGCAAGGAGTGCTTTAAGGAGCCCTGTGCTTTCAGTTCAATATTTGCATGGCTCCTGAGCTCACAAAAGAGAAATCTATCAATTCCTGTCTTCCGGAGGTAGGTGGGGGGTGGAGTGGGAGGAGGCGGTTTGCTCTCTCGCTCAGCCTCGGATGAAATCATTACCGTGCTGACGGGCATAAGAGGCCAGGGGCCTTTATGTATCGCTGGGCGAAAAGGATACCGACGCCATCTCCTCTCCCGGCTCCTGGCAGCCTGAGCCACCATTTCCGCCGTCGGAAAGAAGGCGCGCGGCCATTGTGTATCGATCAAGCGCGAGATGAGCCGTAAATCACACCGCGTGGACTATCGCCTTACAACGTGACCAAGCGGCTGCGGGGTGGGGAGATATATTTTTCGTGTCACGGTCTTTCGAAAGCACCTATCCTGTTTATGGCCGTCGTTATCGGTACCGGATAAGAACGAGCAGCTGAAAACTCCTGGTCGCCGATTGGTCCGCGTGCAACTATTTGCATTATTTGACAACACGGGCTTGTATACAGAGTGTACGAAAAGCACGGGTTTGAGACTTTAGGGGCTTATAGTACTGGATAAAAAAGGGACCACTTTTCTGATACTTTATATTTCTATTAGTTCTTAAGTTCAATTTAAAACCTTGATCCATTCGTTGATATGTCAAGAGTCCACTGTACTTAGATTCTTCGCCCTCTAGGGTATCCTGTACCGAATATCAACGTTCCCAAAATACAGTTCTACCACTCTGAATTCTCGAGTCAATTTCTTCTCGCAGATTAGACTCAATGCTTACACCGTCCGAACGTTAACGAGTCGTACATTATCACAAGCATAACCACGAACAGAATTCCACCATAACCGATCGTTTCTCGGGAATCTAACGTTCTTGGTTCACGGTGCCCGACCATGTCAGGATTAAATTAACAGCACTCCAAGCGGCTCTCGCTCTACCAACAGGCAAAAGATCCGAAGAGCTACAGAGTAATCTCCCAGCGGGCGACGAAAGAAAGAAAAATTTAACTTTCAATTTGCGACCGGGACCGTCGTTTTTTTCTCTCCTCTCCACCGGGTGGATCCTTTCCAGCTGTAATCGACGGACTGGCGGATCTTAAAATATTCCGTGCCCGTGGTGGGGACACGCATTATGGGTCCGCACGATTCCGCGAGATATCGCCCTCGCCTTTTCACGTATCGCGGAGTAACAGTAATAAATACGATATCCACGGATGCGCGAGCGCATTTAGCGGGCTCATGAATAAGTCATAACTCGGCTAGAGATCC